GTCGCACTACAACATAAAACACCGCAGTAACCTTGCTTAGTACAAGCGAACATTGCCAACGGGCTGCAGAACATGCGAATATCGTAATGAATTTGTGGTGTAAAACCAGCCGTCCACCACAACAGGTACACATGTTACTGCGTATATTCTCTGAGGACCACGTCGTCGGTGCATCGCTAGTTGAGTAAAATATCACGAGCATATTTGCTCGTGGTTCGAAGCTACCGACCGATAATCCAGAATGCAGCCATATGCAAAAGCTTCACTGACGTACGCTGCCTTTAATATAGCCAATTACATTATAGTAGTCTACAATTCAAACTATCCTAGCAACAACGTAAAATCGTGTGTCCGCATTAATAGGTTGATGTATGCACTATACACACCGGATATCGCTGTGGCGTTCAACTCTCAAAGGGCGAAGCTTCAAGATCGCCTTTTTTTGTAGTATGATCTGTTAGACTTGAGCGTGAACATCTGAACAGCTGAGTTTACGCTCGAAGGTGTCATTCACCTGTGCTATTTCTAGATTGATCTCTGCGGCGTGTGCACATTCCGACGCGCCTTCCCGTGGATCAGTTTTTCGACGGCTGATGCTTTGGCGGCTGCTGTCAGTGTACGGTCGGAATTGCTTTTGCTCTTGTCTGACATTCCGTTTCTTGGCCAGAAATTTCGCCAAATAAACATTTTCTTTGCGGCGTGGCGACTGCTGCCTTCATCAACGTCGTGGCAACGTCCCAACAATATACAAGGCCATGCTGTGTTCTGCTATAGCGTGCTTGGATAGCGTAAACTTGCATTGACGCGTCGCAGTGTTTGGTTTAGAACATCTGTACCCTTTGCAAATAGCATGTCACTTTTTCTTGTGACAGTTCCCATCACATGGTTGGTCAGTTCTGGATGGTTGCATTCAATTATATGTTCTGAATGGTTCTTCAAACTTGACCGCATGATCATGTTCCTGGGGATACGGAAGAAGTTTTCAATGGAGTTTGGTTAGTTAAATCCCACTTTTCATTAGAATGCTTGTACGGTGTCTCAAGCAAGACACAATGTATAAATTTAATATCTATAATCTTGCCCTCTCCGTCATACCACTCATCATACTTTGATCTTCCAGGGCATGGTGTGTTAGAATGAGTGTGCAAAATGTATAACTTTCACTTCAAAAATATTTTCCAACAAACTTTATTTTGGAACAGTACCTGTAAAAACTTGACAAGAATAAAACTGAGTGTTCGTCGGTTAAAAACCACCTCTTTGATGTACTTGAAACGATAGATTATTGTTTTGTGAGCTGCATTGTTTCTTTTTATCGATGAAATTCTTTAAGATCGAGCAATGTCTACCCACCGGTCGTCGTCGTAGTTTGACCAGGTCTGATAGTGGCACTGCGATTTCCTGCGGCTCGCTCCCGTTGTTGAATCTCTTTCCTCCTTTGGCCATGGATCGACAACTTGAAGCTTTGCGAGCGACGACAATACTGCACTGCGCTCTGGCGGCAAGCTTTGGGGGAAACTGGGGACATGCGCGGTAGAGGGCACGGATGATCCAGCTTGTTGCAAGAACAGCCGTTCGACTCTCTCCTGTTAATCAGCCACAAACATTAATCCCTGCAACATTTCCTCCCTGGACAATTTCGCCTCTAACTATAAGAAAAGCTGTACCTGGCACCAATGGGGCAAAAAGACTAATGTCACAGGCTGCGCTGATGCAGACTACTCTCCTCTTCTTAGCCAAGAACTATGCTCAGCACTCGCACATTTACACCGATGCCTCAACCACTCAGGAGACTTCCACTTATGGACTTTATATCAATTCTGCAAGACAAATGCTATCCTGTCGGCTGCAACGGAAGACATCCTCGACAGCAGCAGAACTTCATGGCATCAAAGAAGCTGTCCTCTACATCTTGCGCCAAACGCCGGACCGATGGGTAATTTTCACCGACTCCGAAGGATCACTACAGATATTGTTCAACCTCCTAAAGAAAACGAATTGTCAGCCCATTTCGTTCGACATAGCATATCTACATCACCTGGCTGTGACCGCAAGGAACTATCACATTTCAGTGGATACCGGCTCATTGTGGAATTTCCGCCAACGAAAAAGCAGATGAAGCAGCCCGCAAGGGTCTTCGACACCACAATTACAGACGAACTTATTTCACTAAATTAAATGCAGCCCAGATGGCCGAAACAATTGCGATTGAAGAAAATAAGAGACGCTGGAACCTTCTGACGCATCATTATGCCTACCTTCACTCAATCGACCACTATCTGAGAACAAGACTCTCATTCGAAATTCCTCGCCATCTGGAAACACTATACCATCGTCTACGTCTAAACAGTGCCTATGTTAACAGCCTACGGTACCGCTTCGGTCAGTCAGCCAGTCCGTATTGCAACAACCGTGGCTCTATCGAATCTGTGGAACATATATTGTTTGAGTGTCGAGCGTATGCTGAAGAGCGTGCGCTCTATGAACATTGCATGCATTCTATAACCGAGAGAACTTTTAGGAGCGAAGCTCCTTGTTTAGAAAAAGTTTATTTACAGCATGTACAGAACACAAAGGCTTCATACCATTCCAGTAACAGGGCACATATACATCGGCACATCTATATTTCACGACTAACATCACTACGTTACAGTGAAGACATTTGCTCTAATATACATGACTATGTTGGCATACATGTACACAAATATTCAATGTGATATCACGATACAAGGGTATAACGATACAATAGATCCAAATGAAACACAATTTGTAACAAATGAAATCATATATAACAACTCAACGGGCGCTGCTTAGCACCAAGTCGGTCGAAAAATGAGTTGTATCCTTTCGTGTTCCACCTTCACGAAAGGGCACGACCAATGCCGCAGAAACTCTTGCTCCCCGAGGAAGAAAAGCTCTTCGGAGAGGAACGCGAGGATCTCTCGTCTCATTCTCCCCAGTATCGGCCACAAGGCACGCCGGCGGCAATTGGCAGCTACGGCCTCACATCGGTTTCTCCAAAGGCTGAACAGCCCCGCAACTATTAACAGAGAGGCGAAGCGGCTACGCGGAAATCGGCCGTTGGACACGAAAGTTCGCACACCCTGTCCCCGAAAACCAGTATTAACCGCACGCCAAAAAAGGCGGGAAACCACACATTCAAACGTCGCATGTCGATTGGTCTCTACCATGACGCAGTTGGGGCAAGTGGAAGTGCGAACAACCTGCCATCGCTGCAACCGATCTCGCGTGGGGAGCAAGCCCCAGCCCAACCTCCAGACAAAGTCTCTGAGATGCCCTGGCAACACTGCGGCAGTTATTGGTTTCCAAGCGCGGTTCAATACAGATTGACGATGCTGGGGCACCAAGGGCCGTAGAAGGGCGGCCATTGTGTCCACCACTTTAGAATCGGCTACCTCTATCTCTGGGCACGTAGCTTCCGAACGTCGGTGAAATGCCAGAAGGGCTCGATACAAAGATGGTAATTCAGTTGATTGGGGACCTTTGTTTATTTGGCTATCCGGCAAGAAGACACGTAGTGATGGCCCCAGATGGTAGCGAGCCAGTGTCTGAGCGGGCATGTCATCATTGCTTAGTATTCGCAATAGAGTGCGGAGGCACAATGTAGAAGCCGCGACGGAAACGTCAGGGAATGCAAAACCGCCTTGATCTCGCGGCTGAGGTAACGCTGGACGCGATAACAATTCTGTGCCACCAGACCAAAAAAATGAACTGATGCAGCTTTGCACTTTCCTGCAGACGTGGAGCGGTGGTTTAACAGAATGGCAAAGGTACCAAAATTTTCCTAGGTACACCGTTTGAGTTAAGTATCGGCGTTCCAAGAGAGGGAATTCGAAGTGCCTGGCTGCTTTGATATCATATGGCGTGGCTTGGGCGTCCCTCGTATGTAACCACCAGTGGCACATACCCGAAATAGGTATAACACTTGACCTCCAAGCTGGTGCCAGTGAGAGATTTCTTCTGTGCGTTGTTTAACAATAAAAAATAGTGCTCAATGTACATGCCAATGGCTGCTAATGGGGAATGAGAGACATGAGCATTCGGCTTTTAGTCAACGCGCACGCTGCGATCCCCATTAGCAGCCATTGGCATGTACATTGAGCACTATCGGACAAGAAAGGAATGCTACATTATACTCGCTGGGTGTAACCTCCTTAGCTTTAGAAAGGTTTAGCGAGCGTTGAGCCACAGTGCCATGAATACAATGAACATGTATATACCATGAATGAACTCAAGGTGGTTAAAAATGAGAAGTAGATACGAAGCGCAAGCCGTAAGAAAGTAAAAGCCGAATTCTCCTGTCTCTCATTTCTCATTAGCAGCCATTGGCATGTAAATTGAGCCCTATCTGACAGGGAAAGGTTGCTACGTTATACTCGCTGGGTGTAACCTCCTTGGTTTTCGAAAGGTTTAGCGAGCGTTTGGTCGCAGTGCCATGAATACAGTGAACTAGAATATACCATGAACTCGAGGTGGTTAAAGGTGGGAAGTGGACCCAAAGCGCAGGCCGTAAGAAAGTGTGCGTGTGTCACCTCTCGTTTAGTCCTTGGAATGTCCGCTGGATGGCGGTTCTTCTATATGGGGAATATATGATAAAAAGATGCGAGATGGTGGGACTGAACGAACGGACACACAAACAGATGCATGGATGGACGCATGAACGGACGCAGGGGCGGATGCACGAAAGAACGCAGGGACGGGCGCACAAACAGACGCATGGATGGTCACACAAACAGACGCATGGACGGTCACACAGATGGTCGCATGGACGGACGAATGCTTCGCCCCACTCTCCATCATTCACTCCGTGGATATGCTGCCATTTTTCTCCCTTGACTGTGTATTAGGACCTTTAGCCTGCCCCACTGTACAGAGGCGTGCGATGAAACTTTTGTTTGCGTACTTGGACAGCATCGGTCAGCTAGACAAGCTGTAGCTGTAGCTTAGCACCACGAAAAAATTATCAACACACGTCCTCATTCAATGGTCAAAGAGGTGGCCTTTTCCTTTATCGCTTTTTATTCTATCATCTATATTCACAATTTGTCTTTTTTTTCTCTATCTTCTTATTTGTACTTTCAATCCTCAATCCCCTTCCGCACGCAGAGTAGCCAGCGAATTTTACATGCCGGCTAAATTCTCTGCATTTCAATAAAAATTTATCTCTCTCTTGGGTAGATACTTTCAAGCACAGAAAACATTGTGCGTTGCACTACACAGCACGCAGACTAACAAACCATATCTAAAAGAAGCAAGACAATAAATATGACGCATTGTTCACGGCAGCCTTAGCAATCATGTGGTCTTGTGTCACACTTTGTTGTCGCTCTTGTGTCACACTTCAGGAGTCGGCACTTTATTGGACACGCTTCGCAATCGTCCGTTTTCCACATAAAAAAATGCAGCCACTGAGGCAATCTCACATTCTTGTTCCAAGTAAACAACTTGCACCGTCCTCCACTAGTTCACCTAAGATTACTGAAGGTGAAAGCCAAATTTTACTTCGTAGTCGATTACACAAATAACTCTTCCAAATCGAACGCGCATCTTCATCGGTGGTTCCGCATTAAATTTTTTTTTTGGTCGCCAGTGACTCACTGCACAATTCGCTAGATGAATGAGTACGGAGGCTTGTTAAAACGGGGGTACCCGCACACGTGGGCTTGTCATGACGTATGAGGCCAGCTAAAATCCTAAGAGCACCAGAATTCATTGACAGAGCACTAGTATGAGAAATCTTGATCCTTTTTGTTGGCAGACTCATGGTGTCTCGTTTTTGTGCCTGCGTTGATGCCTCTTTAGATTTGACGACTTTGCCGACGAATAATCACACATCTCGCATGCGTACGGCCTCTCGCCCGTATGCGTGCGTTTATGTGCACGAAGGGTTGAGGGGCTTTTGAAAAACTTTGTGCATGAAGGACACTTGAAGGGCTTCTCGGTCGTGTGAACGCGCTGATGTGACACGAGACTATCCTTCATCCTGAACCATCGACCACATGTGCCGCATTGGAAGGGCTTCTCGCCTGTATGTATGCGACGGTGATCCGCGAGACGATACGCCTTTGGAAATGCTCTGCCACACGTTTCGCACTTGTGGCGGTGTTCCCACGATATATTCTTGTCACGGCTGGCATCAGTTTCGGGAGCGCCGATGCCTTTTTGCTTGTTCTTTTTTGCAGAGCCAGCAGCATCCCTGCGAGTAATCGAAGAGCAGAATCGTACATGGAATCTTTTTTGCAAGTACAGCAGCTTCTCCCGGGTACTATAAAGACCGACAAAGCGATTAAAGCTTGCATGAAAGCCTATAGCTAATATTATTCGTAACTTCGGGAATTACCCTGCTTCGGCATCATTTATAGGTTAGTGTAGGTAGCTAGAAGCCACGCTAAACGCTGAGCATAGCGCCGCGTCCAACGGTGTGAATGCAAAACTTACCGTATGTATCTAGGAGTACCGACTACCTGCATAGAAGAATACGCAATGTAAAGAACGATGAATGCAACTTCAAGGTCAAGACATGAAGCAGAATTTTGGTGGGTTTTAAACTTGATAATTGGAAGCCTCGAAGATCATGTGCCAATGTGTGCCACCGGACGTAAACCTATAGGCACATACAACCATTGCATGTTCCGTAGTATTTATGAAGCATCTTACACAGAGCTGTCTATGATGATAACTTCTAACTGACCTTTGTACCACCAAATAGTATTAAAAGCTCACTTTAAATGACTATGAGCTTTTACTTAAGCCCATACAGGAAACATTTAAAGAATAAAGTACTCCTGCACGCAGTGCGCAGTAATAATTTGAAAAGTTTCCTAAGCTAATCAAATTACTCGTAGCTGAATGGCAATCTTCGTTCTCCTCGCAGTGAAAGTGCTTTCATGGAATCACGGCTGTTTGCTCTACTGTAACAGAGGCAACCAAAGTGTGTGCTTGCCCTACATTGAAGACAGGTTTCCACACTGCACAACGAAGAATTTTCTGGAGCTACTGCTACTTTGTGTATCTGTTGTATGGTTGCCAATTTCTACCAATTTCCGGTATCTCTAAAACGGTCCTTGGACAATCTCTGGATGCGAATCACAGCAAGACTTACCTAGACTTAGCCACACCAAAGTTTTCGCCCGGCAGGCGAACAGAGTACGTACAAATATAATAATTAAGAGGAAGGAGCCACAAAAGCAAGATTCCCATTAAGTGTACTTACAGGCAGAAGAAGTAGTTGCCTGGAGATTAATGGTGCTGTTTCAGGAAAAAAATGCGGTGAATATGCCACTTAATTCACACAAGCCCTATAATTAAATTGGAGATACACTGCATCACTTTAGTCTACTATACATCCGTTATTTAGCGCAGTTTAGATAATAACATCATATTTTTGAAACGTTTCTCGCGAATATACATGCTCTCAGTAGCTCATGCTTCCGTTTCGGACACAAAAGCACGTTATGTAGAAAATTGTCGCTGATGTGGTGTTTTTGCGAGTATATGTCTGCATGTTCAGGGCTGGCGATGTGCCAAAGCCTGCAGCAAGACCATGGGGACCAACAAGAACAGACATGGCCACACGCGTGACCTAACTTCGGCCCTGACGTGCAAAAGCGCACCTCAGGCTTGTCTTCATCCTGCTCTGTTCTTGCTGGGAGCTACCTCCGCCCCCACTTAGTGTACAGACGAGTTCTTTCGGCGGAGCCATATTTAAATCAAAGATACTAGATGCGTTTCCTTTCAGTTCAGCAACATCAATGATGACAGCATTTCACACACTGCTCTTACCTTGCGCTGTTTCCCGCGGACACACCTGCCTGGTCTGCACAGCTTGTGCTGGGGACTTTGTCATCGCAAGCAATGCTACTGGACGTCGAAAGCAGCAAAACGGTCTTGTTGTCGGACGTCTGTGTACATTCTGAAATGAAAAGCTCCTGTTCACTCTGTGACACTGTTTCACGTGGCTGTAGCAATGAATAGAAAGAAATCGTTAAAGCGAGACTTTTTTCAGAGAAGTCGTTGACATAAAGGAGCCCAACGGCAATGCCACCAACGCGATGAGTGTCTCTTTCAAAATGGAAATATGCAGCAAGAAAACACAAATTGTAGCATTCGAAAATGTTGAGCTGGAGCTACTGAAGCTCGTGCAGTATAGCATTTTAGTATCCTCTGCAACATCCGGTTGTTTTGTTCAACCTGTCATACAGGCTTCTCTTTCCTTTGTTGCACATCTTCTCTGATTAGGCGTAAAATAGCTCTTCGAACGACTACATGAATATCAGGAAAATTGTTGAGAAAATCTACAATGAGGCAACATATGTGTACTCAGTACTTTTGACAACATATGCGTGTAATGTACTTTTAACAACATATGCGTGTAATGTACTTTTAACATATGTGTACTGCGTACTTTGACCAGCCGAAGCACCCTACGGTATCGGATTGTCATGTCATGTGGTATTCGTAGTATCGGCTCGTGGGCGTTCATTGCCATCGTCATGGTTCATCAGAAACAGGTACGCACCACAAAAAGTGTTTATATTCCACTAATATTCTGCGGTACGTACTATACATAGTTAATGGTTCATTTATTCTGCCTAAAAGACAATGTTTCGCTTGGTAGCACTACCCGAATCCTTGACGAAAATTCAACAAGGTGTTCACACTTTTTATAGTAAACGAGTCACAAACACAATGAGAAAGACGCCTATTTTTCTCAAGTGATTTCGCTCAGAAGATATGAAATTCTTGGTATTGTACACTAAAAATTGTTTTAGTTTCAGACAGAAAGATATTCTTGTGCTATCATAGTTCTCAAAACTGTATAAATTGCAAATGCACAGATGCGCCTCCCCCTAATAATCACCTGAATTCCCGGAATCACCGGAATAAGAGATAACACTCAAATTAGGTTCTTCGGTGTCATTTATTTGAGTCAACGGAAAACGTTCCTGCACTTACCATAGGCGATAGCTGTGCCACCATTCTGGTCGTTTGCAGCTTTGATATCTGCAGAGTAGTTGGCATCGGGACTCCTGGACGCACAAAACATTTTCATCTTGGATGACGCAGTGCCAATAATAACATAGTTATGAAACCATGGTACAAAAGAAGACATAGCACTAACACCAAAGCCAAATCCACTACATCGAAGCCTATGTGAAACTATAGAGTACAAAATGCATCAGCAACTAGAGCTTCATCGATGCCAATACATCTACGCATTGCCCCATAGGCTTTGGTGTAAAATATGGACTAAGCTATTTACAGGGGAAAACAATAAAGCTTCTTCAGAACGTAAACTCTAAGCAGTGCTAATTGAAAATGATATGTATCATGGCCAAAACACACAAGATATAGCTCAGTTATTATAGATCCGCATGATTTGCATTGTTAAAACGGTTTATAACCACATGAGGTGACAGTGTCACGGCCGCTCCCTTCGTAACCTATAGGTACAATAGTCGAGTGCTGTGGGTAGTGTCCAAGCGCTACTCCATTGCAGCACTCCAGAAAGCTACCCGGAGTTGTACTGAGGTGGTAGAGCAGGCTATACCAAGAATAGGATAAGCTCCTTTCCCTTCTTATCGCAGCCATTTTGTCTTTATTATGGCACTAGCTAGGTCGTTTGTCACTCATCCTCCATGATACGGCTCCCAATTCTTATTTCACCATATATCTTGTCAGCCCCATGCAAATCTCAACTGCACTATTCGGATAATGGGTGGGCTTTACATACCAAGACATTCAACTGCATATAGTGCATAACTAGATAGATTTCTTGGTATGCACAATATTTATTGCCGGAAGAGAGTGACGGAGCACTCGCAGAGTTAACTTTCGCTTTTTTTATACAAAAAACTTCAAAAATTGGCCCTCTGCAGATGAGCATTTTTGAATCAGAGAAGCGTGTGATCAGAGCGTTCGTGCTCTGGCACTGGCAGCGAGCAATAAACGTGGTGCATACCTAAAGAAATTTGCGCATAAAACTGTTTCGTTAAGTGTGACAATAGTAAGTTGCGTAGGTATGTGAAGAGTGCAGAAGAAAAAAGGGCGTTAAGAGGGGAGGGGAAGTCGTTTTTGAAGGTATTTTTTTCCGAGTCAGGCCGCCTCGTACGTAGCTTGGGAAATCGTTTTTTTTTTTCTGGCTCTAATTGACAAGCCGAGCTTTGGCGCAGTTTCCTGTCTGTTGCATCAAAATGCACCACCATTTCCGCCCTAATTGATTGTGTCTCTATTTATATACGTGAACTAGCGAAACTTTAGCAGAATGGTTGTATTCCCGTCACTCTGCAAACAGTTAAAAAGCTATTGGGATCATTCTTGTCCCATAGTAGTAAATTTCAGCCGGATAGCTTGCGAATGAGGGCCCGCCATTTTTAAAGTTAACATCGCACTTGATACGCTCTGGATTAACAACTTCTGAGCAAATTTAAGGTTGACTCAGCTTATCTTGAGCCATGCCAATCTTTACAAATCGTCAGTCTGGCTAATATAAGGCGACGTAGTATCTGCGTGGTCGGAAACATTACCATGCATATCTCGTAGGGGATCTGTAACAATTGTGTTGCAAAAGGGATCAAATGTTCTAAGCATACGCAATATCATTTGTATAAGACACAGCTTCTATAATGAATATGTGTCAAAGTATTGTATTCTCAAGATAAATGTGCTAGTCTCGCGAAGAAGCCGAGTCCATTGCACCCAAAACTTGGGATTGGACTTGAAGGATATTTGTACTTGCTAACTAACTACGGTTTGGGCAACAATGTCCGAAGACTATCTATACTCACTGCGGAATTGGAGGATTGCCGTTGGCTGACTCGTACAAATAGTTAAGAATGATATTCCAGTCCTCTTCGTAACTGCAAAAAGTTGACATTGGTAAGTTTGTAGCTGAAAATGAAGGTCTACTATTACTTCCACTACTACTACCACTACTACTACAACCACCAACATATGATTAAACTTACTCCAAGCTGTATCATAGTGTTTGATAGAATGTTCTGTCAAACTAAAATTTGTATGCAAAAACTGGTTTTTGTTCTAGAGCGAAGATATATATATTTTTTGTTGCTTTTCTGACACGTCACGTAATGCTGCCTGACAACAGGTCAATGACTGCATATAAAGCACAATATAATGTTAAATCAATCATGCATTACTGGGGAGCAAGTAAAGAGAAGATGAGGCTTAACAATCACCGATATGTATGCAACGGTCATCACACGTGCGGCTTCATTGAACGGACTGCGTAATAGCCAGGCGCCCACCCTACACCCGCTGCACAACTGCTTCAGTGCTTGTACTCGGTTGTGCTGTGTCACTGATGTCGGCTGATGTCATAAGTTAATGGCATGATTTGGCCGCAAAAGAGACACACACAAGAAAAGGAACACTCAAACGACAAGCACAGGCGGCACTTCCAACTAAAGCAGACTAGGTGCAGACCCAGACTTAAGTACGAAAATATAGACATGCGCAGTCTTCATACAGCCTTACGCTATCCAACAATCAAACAATCTTGTCTCCGAAGCATACAACGTCACCGACGGTTCGCTGATACACCTTTCACCTTTCTTTTTAATGTAATAGGCTTCCATCAGCTCACGCGCAGTTTTGTACCTGCTTCTACCCAGAATCTTAAACTCATTAAAACGTGGTACACACCCACAGGCTTTACAGTGCATAGGCAAATGCGCCAAGCCATCGTTCATTAAATTTAATTCGTGCTCCCTAACTCGTTCATTGATGCAGCGCCCGGTAATCCCGATGTACGAGTTGCCACACGAAAAGGGAATCTCATAAACAACGCCTTTTGCACATCTCCCGTACATCGTGGCGTGTTTTTTGCCGCACCCTTGACGGCTCGCCTCCACCTCCCGAGCAGTTCTCGGGCACAGCTGAGCCAGCTTTATGGGCGCAGAGAAGGCGACAGGTACCCCATACCGGCCTGCTACCTTTTTCAGGTTGTGGGAGACCTTATGAACATAAGGAATCACTGCAGGTCTTACGGTTTCGGTTCTTTGTTCCCCCGTGGCAGCTCTAGTAACATCACCCTTAGCTTTCCGCAAAAGCGCTTCGGAGACAGCTGTCAATAGCGAGTCAGGGAAATTCGCAGCTAAAAGACGCTGGATCTGGTTTCCGAATGATGCCTGCGTCATGTGCGTGCACGATTTCTCGAGAGTAGATCCCAGGCAGAGCGTAGCTATACCACGCTTAACTATTTTCGATTGGCAAGAGTCATACGGCATTACACCTTTCTTGGCGCGAGGAAAATATTGCCAACACGTTTGCCCGTCATGGAAAGTTAAGCGGAGATCTAAAAATTGCAGGGTGTTACTTTGCGGCAGTTCTTGTGTAAAAACGAGTCCTTTTCCGTGAAGCCTAAAAATATTTAAAATGTCATCGCAGCGCGTCAAGGAGCCTTGTCTGTTAAAAAGAATTAAAAAGTCATCCATATACCTAAAAACTTTGGCAACGTTCAAGGCGCTATGCAGATTAAAAGCTTCATCGAGCGACCGGTCAATACTAGATAAAAATATGTTGCACAGCAACGGAGCAATACAGGATCCAATGCAAATGCCGCGTTTCTGCAGAAAAAGCTGCTTGTCGAAAGATATAAAAGTGCTACGTAGGTAGGCTTCCAACAGAGTTAAAAAGTCGTCTATCGTTACACCAGCCGCATTTTGAAAGGGTATGGCGCCACTTTCTTCTATGCAGGCTCTCACCGCAAAGAAGAGTTCATCATGTGGAATTGAATAAAAAAGATCTTCCACATCTACTGAGAAGCCATTGTTGAGCGAGTGCTCATTATCTCTCAAGAACTGCACTATGTCTTTTGAACTGCTAGTGAAGAAGGGGTCCTTAATCTTAACGCACTTCAGCACCTTCTGTAAGTGCTTACTAAGTAAAAGCTGCCATGTGTCCCGTTCACTCACTATACTTCTAAAGGGTACTTCAACTTTGTGTGTTTTTGCGCTGAAGAATACGTTTAATGCCGTAGCTTTCATTTTTCTAATATCTGTTGCTAACTTTTGCAACTTGAGGTCTTTACATAGCTTGGAAACCTTACTCTTAACCTTTGATTCAGACTTCTTAATCTGAACAAAATTCTTTCTTATAGCCTCTGCTGCCTTCAAATTAAACATTTCTCGTGGAAGCACTACAAAACACCCTTCTTTGTCAGCTTCCAATATGACAATATTCTTTTCCCTACACAACGCTACTGTCTTTCGCATAACCTCAGTTTTATGACTCTGCCTGGTACCAGAAACACATTTTTTCAGGCTATCTACACCATCTAACAGACACCTCTCCTTATCCTCTGCTGAGGCTTTACTAGCCACATATCTGTTAAGTGCCGCTAGTTCATGCACAGGAACACTGGCATCGATGCAATACTTGGGTCCCTTGGAAAGAAGCGTTGCCGAGTCCTCCGGTAGGCTCACGTTTCCTAACATTACCACATTTGATGACTTCGTCGTTGATTTACTGTCCTTGTTAATTTTACAACATTGTCCAATGATTTGTTTCCACCAGTATTCCGTCATATGATGGATGATGCGTCTGGAGGTTCTTAACTTCTCTTCCGCTACCCATGAAACATCATTCTTCAGGTGCACAATGCGTAGCCAGTCGTGAAGTAAGCGTACTTGTCTCCACAATTCTGAACGCAGAATTTTGCACAGCCGGGCATTATGGCCCTTAGAAGAAGCAACATGGCCAAAGAGGGAACTTACTTCAGGTGGCGTAAGTCCTTTGCGTATGCAGAAACCGATGTATCTTGCACGGCAGGTAGTTGCAACAATGGAACTGACAATGATGTCGACGCTTGATAGGAAGTCCGGAGAAGACACACACGAAGAGAGGCCAGTTGCACTAGAAATATATTGTAATAATACTGATTGTTGGCCTAGTTGGTATTTACTTAATGGCATGATTTGGCCGCAAAAGAGACACACACAAGAAAAGGAACACTCAAACGACAAGCACAGGCGGCACTTCCAACTAAAGCAGACTAGGTGCAGACCCAGACTTAAGTACGAAAATATAGACATGCGCAGTCTTCATACAGCCTTACGCTATCCAACAATCGTCGGTGACGTTGTATGCTTCGGAGACAAGATTGTTTGATTGTTGGATAGCGTAAGGCTGTATGAAGACTGCGCATGTCTATATTTTCGTACTTAAGTCTGGGTCTGCACCTAGTCTGCTTTAGTTGGAAGTGCCGCCTGTGCTTGTCGTTTGAGTGTTCCTTTTCTTGTGTGTGTCTCTTTTGCGGCCAAATCATGCCATTAAGTAAATACCAACTAGGCCAACAATCAGTATTATTACGATGTCATAAGACATGCGCTTTCTGGTTCTGATGTTTATCTCAGCCGTAGTCCACTTTCGTGACTCCTGAATACAAAAATATGCAAATACTTTCGCCCCGCATCGGTGGTCTAGTGGCTAAGGTACTCTGCTGCTGACCCGCAGGTCGCGGGCTCGAATCCCGGCTGCGGCGGCTGCATTTCCGGTGGAGGCGCAAATGTATGCCCGTGTGCTCAGGCTTGAATGCACTGTAAAGAATCCCAGGTGGTCGAAATTTCCGAAGCCCTCCACTACGGCGTCCCTCATAATCATATGGTGGTTTTGGGACGTTAAATCCCACATATCAATCAATCAGTGCAAAAACTTTCAACACACCGTGTGCACTATGACGGTGGATCGCTGCACATAGGCTTTTTGGCATAGCGCAGATTGATTGATTGATTTGTGGGGTTTAACGTCCCAAAACCACCATTTGATTATGAGAGACGCCGTAGTGGAGGGCTCCGGAAATTTTGACCACCTGGGGTTCTTTAACGTGCACCCAAATCTGAGCACACGGGCCTACGACATTTCCGCCTCCATCGGAAATGCAGCCGCCGCAGCCGGGATTCGAACCCGCGACCTGCGGGTCAGCAGCCGAGTACCTTAGCCACTAGACCACCGCGGCGGGGCGGCATAGCGCAGACGACTGTCGAGTTGACAACCGGATGGTTCTCTTTGTCTTAGTGCATTGCGTAATCCTCTTGACCTCTGCAGTATGTAATTACTGCACACGATTCGTTTAATGATATTTTTTTCGGAATATTTGTGGCTCATGATAACGTACTTCAAATAAAGCGCGCGAAAATGCTAGCAATCGCGATGCCTTGCGCTCGCGTAAAGACGTAACAGATTTAAAGCGATGTTCATTTCTAGAAGCCGGACCTCCGATTAGCCAACTCCACTGTGTTCGCGCCGGAAATCTATTACGGTGTTACGGAACTGTTTAATCGCAATGTCCTAACTATTAGGCAATACTATTTGCTCATTACACCTCCGTTTACTCTAATTTCTTCTTTTGCGCATCACCTTTTTTTTTCGATTTCCTTTCCTTCTTTCTTTCCCTCCGGCGCTTAGTATACAGTAGTAAACTGGATGCTCGCATTCTGGTCGCCCCGCCGCGGTGGTCTAGTGGCTAAGGTACTCGGCTGCTGACCCGCAGGTCGCGGGTTCGAATCCCGGCTGCGGCGGCTGCGGCGGCTGCGTTTTCGATGGAGGCGGAAACGTTGTAGGCCCGTGTGCTCAGATTTGGGTGCACGTTAAAGAACCCCAGGTGGTCGAAATTTCCGGAGCCCTCCACTACGGCGTCTCTCATAATCATATGGTGGTTTTGGGACGTTAAACCCCACATATCAATCAATCAATCGCATTCTGGTCACCTCCCTGCATTTCCGTAATTTTATTTCATTGGTCAGATAATTCATTAAGTGAAACACTCTCGACCTCCATGACGATGCAAGCACTTTGTATTTCAACTGCGAATGCTCGATTTCCCGTACGACTGTACAGAGCATTGAGACGACGGCACTGGCCAAAGCATCATCGTGCGCTTGCATAACACCGCTTAAGCCAAATGAAATACTACAGCATGTCTGTGTGGGATTTCGCGAGAGGATTACATACAAGGCCCAGCATCAAATTCCTGCCATTCATTAGCAATTCACATACGTGTGTTTTTCCCGTCCTATAACAGCGATGTTATGACTGCACGCGCCTTAGTGGAGGACTGCGAAACTTTCTACAATCTGTGCGCGAGAAATTTTGTGGCATTGTCCACTGGCCTATAGCGTTGCACCTCTATCAAAATGAGGCAGCAGCTGTGGGAATTGAACTCTAGACATTTGGGTCATACCGAAAACATCGTCACCACTGTGACACTGATGCAGGCGCTCCTGTTCCTGCTAGTGATGATGGTTTCGTATCCTGTAATATATGTTTCTGCAGCCGGCGTGAAGCTTCAGAAACATCATAAGGCCGAAAATGAACGCCCACTCATTCTCAGAAAAACAGAAGAGCGGGGCCCTCAGAGACTGGTGCGTCGTAGCTAGCGTTTTGTGTGCATTAAGAATTGCAAGTGTTCAAAAAGAGGCTCGTCTTGTGTTATCTTGAGTCATTGATTTGATTTGATTGATGTGTGGGGTTTAACGTCCCAAAACCACCATATGATTATGAGAGACGCCGTAGTGGAGGGCTCCGGAAATTTATACCACCTGGGGTTCTTTAACGTGCACCCGAATCTGAGCACATAGGCCTACAACATTTCCGCCTCCACCAGAAATGCAGCCGCCGCAGCCGGGATTTGATCCGGCGACCTGCGGGTTAGCAGCCAGGTACCTTGGCCACTAGACCACCGCGGGGGAGCGCGTTATCCTGAGTCGACCTTGCCTTTTATGTTTCCTGATCCATCTTGTGGCTACCACTAGCATTTGTTAAATATCGCCGCAGCTGTTCTTTACTTGGCCATGCCCATTATTTTAGATGACCACTTCGAAGATACTTCGGGGACATCTGAATAAATCATTTTTTTTTTACAAGAACCTCACCTGGCATAGTCTTGACAGGTGGCCGACTGGTGTATTTGCGAGTAGCTGCCGCTGCCGATTGCGGAATACCATGGCAGTTTCTCTTCGTCGGCCATGTCCTTTCTTCAACTTGGGCTCGTTGAAGACGCTGGTCACGGTTCTTAAGGCGCGGGCAGACATCGACCGATCAACAGCGTAGTGGTGCACCCTGTGCCGGATCAGAGGCATTGCACCGAGACATGACACGGTACACGCGCTTCCTTGTGTGCCCCATGTCTTAAGAAATCACTGTCGTGAAGGTATCTTTTTGTATTATTATCACAAATATAGTACTCTGCATTTTCAACATGCTCATATGGCAACTATAATCAAGTTATCGCTTGCGATATCTACGTCTACAACGACATTTCGCACTACTCGTTTCGGGCCAATGAGCGAGAAGTTTTAGAGGGCGTATTATTGTCACGATGACTGAAGCTACACTAGCGTCGCTTTCACCTTTCTGCGGGCCCCGTATTAGCGAAATGACTGCGTGGCAAGCCTGCAGAATTGTCAGTCACGATTTTGGGAGCTCTATTGTGCTCTAATATGTGCCACAATAATGCGCATAGGAGAAGTAGGTTACATGTATTGCGCGTTTTGGAAGAAAAGAAAGATTATGTTATGTGGCCATCCTCCGATCCACGAGGCATGCAAAGACGCGCGTGCGTCGTGCGATGTCTCCAAAACACGCTTTAGTTCCGGCACAAGTTCCACCCCTAAACTGATGCTTGCTTCACGTTGGTTGACGGTTTTCCTATATCGTCCCAAGTTTCAGTGAAGTGCGTACGTACAGTCACAATCATTTTAAGAACGAACCATGGAGCATCATTACAGGAGCACGTGGCTTTCGGAGTAATTATAGGGATGTGAAACGGCAGTACAGCATCGGTGGCAGCGAGAAGTTTCGCTCATACGCAGTGCGACCGGGCTGCGAAAACTGTGTCAGGCTACCTTGCACGTGTTGTCTGCTGCATCCGAACGGCAGGGGAAAAGCCTTGTGCTTCAAAGCATTTCCAATTACGTTGCACAATATTCACGAACGAACTTGGAAGTACGGTACGTAGGCCAGCATTCTCAAGATCATCATTGGTATGTCACTAGGACGCTATCCCCGGAGCACATCTTGTGTTCCAGCATGATCGCGGCATCGGTGCACATTGAGAAAGTTAGGGACGAGGACATGGAAAATCGCCTCATTGCGGTGCTTCTCTCTAATTCATAAGCATTTGTGAAAATAGGTATGGCGGGGGGGGGGGGGGGGCATACACAAAAGCAGCCATGGGGCGACACACCTGTTCACGCTCCGCGACTGTGGATGAACTCAAGGTTCGCCAGAAGTGACGGAATGTTCGAACGCATCATAACTTTGTGCCCGCGCTTTACTTGTTAGCACTTTCTGGGATGGCAAGAGCGCTTTTTGTTTTTCGAAGTGGAACATGACAAAACACTGATGTAACATCGAGGAAAACTATTCCAGATTACTGACACTACTTTCCCAAACGCATCTCTCTCTTGTTAAAGGTGTACCATGTAACAGCTCGGGTGTTTGTGTTCATTTGGCTCTTCGTTGTGCGAATACAAAAACATAGTAAAAAGAAAAGAACAAAAACATAGTAACACGGCATGCATAGGAGGCACGCCGTTCGAACTGAAACATCAATACTGTAGTTGCCATCATAATGCGATCACCAAGGAGGGTGAGAATCAGCTAGCAGACGACGTACGAGTACTGAGTTTAAGTGATGGGCGCAAAAGGTCGCTACCCTCTTCGTTCCCGCGTGCAGATAATACGACGTGTCACTCAGCATCGCAGACATATATAGTACCAAAGGCCACGCGCTCGTGTGTTCACTCTCAAGAAGATTTCGACCGCGCTACATGTACAGCAACGGATATGATGGACGAAGAAGAACGGCGAGAATATTACGCTATTCTTGGCAGCCTCTACAAAGTACTTCAGGAAAGAAAGCAGGCACACACGTCTCAAGGC